GTTATTCATCCTTAGGCTTCCTTAGGATTTTTAAAACTTCTTATTTCTGGTTGTGGTACTTGAAGATAAATATTAAGAGACTTGTCCTCAACTCACTAATTTGGCATTCCTTTGATTCAATTCTATTTCTTTGCCTTTACAATGTACTGTTTCTGAAGTCAGTATTAATCTTCTGTCTTTCTAATTGCTGTTTTTGCATGCTTTCCAAGTTTTCATTTATTTTGTCAGATAGTTCTTGTAGTGTTTTCCTGAATCCTCAAGTTTTTTTGGTGTTCTTGCTTTCATTGATCATTCTCTCAATCTGTTGAAAGTACTTAAATAGCATTGCTTTAAATTTCTTATTAAGTACTTCTGATACCATTTCTGTCATTATATTTTCTGACTCAGTATTTTGATCATTGTTTGAGGCGCTCTGTCTTATTTCTTTGTGTAAGCTAGAATGCTTTGTTTTCTCCAAGACACTGTGATGTTGATGTGTTTACATTTAATTGATGATCTTATGCTGGTTTGTGCTCAGGCTTTCACCACTCGTTTCCTGGTGGGGTGATAGAGACTGGAAGTGCGAATGTAGTTCTCTGATCACTGTTTGTGTAACACAGTTCAGGGTGGGTTCGCATGCATGCAAAAGCAGGGACAGAACTCCCAGCACCCAACCCCAGGCAGAGCCGCCCAGGCTACACCGGAAGGGTGCCACAGTTTGGTGATGGTGGGACTGGTCATGCCCGTGGCTGCCATGAAGGCATAAGAACAAGGGAGAACTGCAACCCCCTGGCCTCCAACCTCCACCTGTGTCCTGTGCTTGTAGACTATTGTATCAGCAAAAGGTCAAGATGTCTGTGATACTCCACGCCCATACTCCATGCAGCTCACACTCCAACTGTTTATCTTCTTACTCCCTGTTCCTGCTCAGCTTCCTCTTACAGTCAGCACTCAATTCACCTCTCTGCCCTATCCTCTGATGCTCAGATTTCCCAACTCCCCTTCTGTATCTGTTTCACTGTCTTTGTTTCAGAGGGTTGGCTCAGTGTGTCTGACTACTCTACCATCTTGCCTTGGAAACTCAGATTGGTCTCTCTTCTTACAGAATTTGTGAAGAGAAATTTGCTGCTCTTTCCCCTCAATTGAGCTGTTTAGGTGAAACTTCTTCAACCTATGTCATTAGAACACTTTGAGAGATGAGAAAATGTTTTGGAGCTCATAAGTGCCTTTGGCCAAGAAACTCCAGCCTGTCTTAATAGAGAGTGATGTTGAGCGACTATGTGAATCTAAAAGTAAATGCACTGAGACAGAAATAGATACAAAAGCTGAAGTTGTTTCAGGGCAGTGAAAGATTATTGTCCATCCTGTTTATTGAAGGGATTTCTTTTTTCCTAGGAAGCCCAACCTTGGAGAATAAATATTAGCATGCAGTTGATGACAGGCCTGCCAAATGCCAGCCCCTTCTGAGTCTGAGCTCCAGAGAAAACGAATCCAGGCCCCATCACCCAGTCTCCTGTCACCAATAAACATACCAGACAAGTCCCAATGCTACCATTTTTCATTTGCTTGCATTGATAAGCTCAGCCTTTCACCCACTATAAATGTGCCAATAAAACCTTCTCTTCCTGTCTCACAGCACTGTTCTGTGTCTCATATAATCTACTTAATGTGAAAAGGCCTCATGAGTTATAAAACAATGCAGCAATGCACATGTAATGTTTTCCAAAATCTACACTGTTTGAGTTCAAAGTGCTTCCATCTTTCACTCAATTACACAATAAATTCAGAGAAAACAAACTAGGTCTTTACCCAGATATCAAGATAACTATCAAGTCTCCATTTACTTAATGAAATCCATTTTCCAGAAAGGTCAGCAATTCTTTGTGGGATATAGTAAACAGGACATGGGTTATAGAATCAAGTGTACTTAAATTTGAACCTCAGTGCAGGCATTTGCTCACGTGTGTTGTCCTGGGCATTTCCCTGTCCTCTCAGAGCCTCATGTTGCCAATCTGTAAAAATGGAAATTAATATGCTTTCATGACTAGTTATGGTCAGGGACCCTCTAAACAACTCAAGAGATGCCCTTTTGTGTTACACTCTGATGTGAATGGTGCTTTTTGGCATTAGGTGTCAAGGTGGCCCTAGTTATGGTAGAATTAGGTGAAATAATATATGAGGGGGCTTCAAAAGTTCATGAGGAAATTTCATTATTTTTTAATTCCATATTTCCATCAACTTAGTGTGTGTGTGTGAATTTCCAGAAGATTTACAGAGAAGTTATACAATCCTCAAATCACACACTTTGTTTCACCTCAATGATTGCAATCCCCTCTGTATAGCAAGTTATCCCACTGCCTCCCTGTGACTTCTATCCCCATTCCACCTTTCTTCCTAACATGCCCTTAGATAAATGTTGCTCTTCTGATCCTGAATGAGTGACCATTCCATGGTGAGCGTACCTTACTAGTGCTGTTGTCCCCCTATATAACTATCTACTGCTTGGGCCACAAGGGTGAGTTCCATTCCACACCTGAAGGGTGTGGCTAAGGGCCATAGTCTTAGATTCCTCCATTCTCTTTCTAATGAGTAAGCCTGGTCTTTTTTAAAATTAATTTTGAGTTTTGTTCAACATTTTCTGCCGCTCTATCCAGAAACTTCCAATGTGATCCCTTTCGGAGCAGTTGATAGTGATGGTCAGGCACTAGCTAGTATTTCTGGTCTTAGAGTCATTCCATGAACTTTTGAAACCCCCCTCATATAGTTTGCTCAATTAATTTTGTTTCTTTAATTAGTCACATGTTGTCTGTTTTACCAAGATGTCCCATCCTCAACCATGAGTTGAATCAGCTTCCTGTCTCTTGATGGTGCTTGTAGAGCCCTACATAAAGCTGAATGTTATGAATCTACTCCTTGGTCTTCTCACCCAGGATTCTAATATCACAGCTCTTAGAAAAACATATCCTATCATAAATCTATGGTTTCTATGGTGAGAGGTCTTATTCTGGCTATTTAAAAATGTATTGGCTTTCAAGAGGTTGGACTATGGTGAGGTAGATCAGTCAGCTTGCTCTTCCTTTTCATTCTAATTTTTTCAAGTTTGCATACATTTATTTATAGTGCAGTCTTATTTAAGAACTGAACAATATATAAATGGTGGTTTCTGACATCAAAAGGTCAGGGAGCTAAACCAAGACAATGCAAACTAAGGTAGAGTGCAGAAAGGAATGGTGGAAGAATACATAACATATTTATGGTTCAGAGAGGTAGAAAGGGGCTGTCAGAACACTTGCTCTGTACATTCATAGCCTCAACTGAGGGTGATTTTTTTTTTTTTTTTTTTTTTTGAGTTGCTTAAAGTAGCTGATCGGGCATAGTCTAGGACTAGAAGTCTGGTCTCTCCTCACTCTAAATCCATTGGTTGGTCCATCATCTAGCCGTATGTCAATCACAATTTTGGAATTTTTTTTCTTCTTTCACATATTTTTAGGCCTGTTTTCCAGCTTAGAATCGAGTGGCTTCCCTGAACACATCTTTCACTATGATTCACATCAGCCTGAGGAAAAAGCTCAGCTACTGTGTTCTCCTGGCCTTTTTCCTATTTGCGATCATCTGTGTGTGGAAAGAAAGGAAGAAAGGGAGTTACTTTGAATCCCTTAAACTGGAAACTAAGGAAATCCAGGTGGTGACAGGTCTGGAGAAACTTGCCATGGGGTCTGGTCCAAAGTCATCAATCAGTACCCAGGACCTCCACAGAGGAAACCCGGTCCTCAGCAGCAGCAGGGAATCATCCAAGGCCAAGCCAGAGCCCTCCTTCCAGGTGTGGAACAAGGACAGCTCTTCCAAAAACCTCCCATCACGGCTGCAGAGTATCAGGAAAAATTATCTGAACATGAACAAGTACAAAGTATCCTATAAAGGACCAGGGCCAGGGGTCAAGTGGAGTGCAGAGGCCCTGCTTTGTCACCTCCGGGACCACGTGAATGTATCCATGGTAGAGTCCACAGATTTTCCCTTCAACACCTCCGAATGGGAGGGTTACCTGCCCAGGGAGCACTTCAGGACCAAGGCTGGGCCATGGGGCAGATGTGCTGTTGTCTCTTCCGCAGGATCTCTGAAGTCCTCCCAGCTGGGCCGAGAAATAGGTGGGTTCCAGGTGTTAAAGTTGTTATTTTAATGTTGGTTGGAGTAGTAGGGTATAATGATGGCAAGTAGACACAAGGGGCTCAACTGTGGCTCCAGGGTCCAGTGGAGAGGGCAGAGGTCAGTGACTTTCAGTTGTCTTTTATGGAGTCAAAGGTGCCACTGGGACAGCTGAAGGGATGAGGGCCCAGACTCTCAATACCTTTATTAAATCAGAACTGCTTTCTTCAGTTTGTTTTAAATATTGGCATGCTGCAGACGATTTCATCTGAAGAGAGCATTCCTTTGCTACCAATAAGCAAAAAAACTAAAATTGACCTTTGAAAAGAACTGAAGCACAGATCCATATTTCATTTTTAGGTCCTGACCTTCTGTAAATTTATCTGATTAA